GTTTATTAATAAAAAGCGTCTTCTTTGATTTAAATATAATGCACTTGTTATAAGAGCAAAGTAATTTTTCTTGCATTTTTATCTATAGAAAAATTTGATCGTCATGCGTCTTTATAATAAATGGATTTGCCTCAAATTTAGCGTGACATGTACACTGACCGCTAAGATACAACAGTGACAAGATAAATTTGAAACTTTCAAACAAACTAGAATGGTAGAACATGTAAATTATTTTGCTGAATTAAATATATTTGGCATCATTTCACTAATTTTGTTCCAAATATCATTCAATTTCATTTAAATTTAAATTGTCTGTTCTTGCAAAATTGTCACAGATACATTATTAATTGCCGAATTTGACGTTTTTTGTGTTATTTGTTCAAGATTATGATTTTCTTTAGTTTTTTATGGCTTGCTGCATTAATATGCGAAATAATAGTTGTTTTATGTTTGAACGACTACAAACTGACATACATGTATTAAAAAATTATCATAACAAAAATCTAATCTCTTGTGCATGACTATATGCAGTTATTCGTGAGTTATTTTTTATAAACATTACGATAGTTCTTTATTCAACTGAAATCGAAATAATCATGCAACAATCTAAATTTTGTAGCACAGTGAAACCTGTATACATGTACTTTTGGCCAATTATGTAACACTATCGAGGTTCTATAAATCTAATACATGTACATGTATTGTGAAATTTGAAATTTCATTTTTATGTTGATTGGCTATATAGATTATAGATAATGACAAAGACGATTCTTATTATCGGCGGAGGCATAGGTCAATTATTTAATTTCATTGAAGTTTGACAGATATTTTTTTCTCACTCTGGTCTTATTACAGGTGGATTGACACTTGCACAAGCGATCAAAAAACATCATCCTGAAAAATTCAAAGTTGTTGTCTATGAACGCGACAAAGGACCAAGATGTTCGTATATTTTTTATGGATGTTAAATAACAAGTTGATCCTCACATTAGTTTTATTTTAATTCTACACCATAAATAAAAAGCACGTTGGCAAGGATATCACGTAATTTTTCATCAAAAAACATCAAGACATCTGATTTCCGCCATTCCCCAAAATATTTTATCACGAATAAATCAAATTACGGTCAACGCGGCTCCTCGAGGGAAATTCTCATATTGTTTTATCGACGAACATAGCAGAATCGTCGCAGAACATGAATCGGAACAGGCCGAAAATATTGAGAAACTTGCTAATCTTCCACCAAATTCAACACTTTTCTTGTCACGAGATAGACTTCGCGAAACGTTGTTAGAAGGAATAGAAATTTATTGGGAAAAAAAATGTTGTGGATACGAAGAAACGGATGATGGCGTATGGGCTTTATTTGACGATGGGTCCAAAATCTTTGGTGATTACTTAGTTGGATGTGACGGGATTCATTCACAAGGTAAAAGAAATTTGTTATTCTAAATTTCTTACAACATCGTTCTAATCTTTACTCTCATTTAAAAGTGAAAAAACAAAGATTTCCTAGCATTAAAACCGTCGATTACAAAATATCTCTTTTGATTTCGAACGTTGCGGTTTCAGAAAGGACCATAAACCGAATTCTGAAGATAAGTCGTGGTCATCTTCTAAGTACATGCTTTGGATTTAAAGGTTCAACAAACGTTATTTTTTTCGACTTGATGCCGATCTGGGTTAAGTCTGATCCTGAACCACGATACAGAATGACACTTCAACATATTTCATCACCACAAGACTTTGATGTCTTTAGTCCAGCTAAGAGTCCCAAGGAATTAGTTGATCTGATTACTTCACAAATTGAAAAACAACCTTCAAGTGAATTAAGGTCCATTCTTCTTGAATTATGGTCGCTCATACCTACGGAGCCTGACCCAAATTATCCATTTCAGTATATCCCCCTGAGCAGACGAACCGTAATGGATTTCGATTCAAAGACACTTCCTAAAGAATGGGAAACAACCAAGATTACTTTACTAGGTGATGCCATTCATAGTATGACTGGACATCTTGGGCTAGGTAAGAATATCAGTCATTGTTCTATTATATATTTACTACGGCTTTTTGGATTTAGATATCCATGGTATTTTTCAGGTCTAAATAATGCAATTATTGACGCGAATGTTCTTGCAAATGCTCTTTCTCATTTCGACGATGAAGGATGGGAAAATTGCGTTATGAAATATGAGAAAGAAATGAGAGAACGAACATATCCGGATATCGTAGCTTCTCGATTTGCTGCTGTTCGTGCTCACCTCATACATGATGACTATTTTTCAATGTATAAAAGAAATGTAAAGTTGCGTTGGAAAGCTTTAATGTCGAAATTGTAATAAACTGAATTGCATTCGCTAAAGAAATTACGTGTAATGAAGTTGGATTTTGAAGTTCAAGCTGCTGATGACAAAAATATTACTATTGCAACTATTCAATTAAGAAGCTGTTTAGCTTGACAAGCTTTTAGAATGTATCTCATTTAAAATTCGCATCAGCAAACTGATTGGGAAACAGTTGCTGAAAAATCAATATTTTATAATGGTTAATAGCACCCGATAATGGTAACGGTAAGTAAAAAAGCATTTAAAGATCACAAAGTACATGTACATAAATCTGAAGTGACATGTGTTTTAGAACGACACATGCATTAAAGTTAAGAGACAGTCAATTGGTTATTTGGCGGCACATTTTTTATAGAGATATCAAAGAATATTGATTTTACTGTTTGAATACCTTTTAAATACATGTCGTTTTTACCACAAACGATAACGATAATAAAAGTTTCATGTCACACATTGAAATTAAATACACGTATATAGCAACAGCGATTATTTTCTATCTAAAAAAAATCCAGCTAAATTGGCATCAAAATTCGTTTAGTTATTAGATCCGAAGTACATGTACCAAATTAAATGCTAGTAAATATAATACAGCCATTTCTTTACTAGCATTGATCGGGTACCTCGAGAACTAATAACTAAACGAATTGCAGATGCATTTAATGTCATAATAAACTATATTTCTTTAAAAAAAATTTATTTTGATACTACATGTGAAATACTTCATAACCCGCAACTGTAAAATTCTTTCTTTCATCAAAGCTCAACAAACCATTTTGATAGCAGCATTTTTTACAGTAATTATTCTTATCATTAGAAAAATTAAAATCGGCACCATTGAGGATTAAATCAACCACCTCCAAAATTTGGTCCATGATTTGACCAGCACTTCACACTGTTCCCGTTTTTATGTTTGCTTAGAACTCCATTAATAGCTTGAATATCTTCAGAATCAAATTTATATAAAAAGCTATTTCAAACGGTGTAATTTTATTAAGTGAATTCCACTCAAACGGATCATAACCACCAATAATCTTTTCCTCATCATGTCAACAATTGTTGGACCTTTATTATCACACAGGCGATGAAAGTCAGTATTCTTAATTCATCACGACTACCTCGCAGTAATAATTTCAATTCGATTGATTTATTTTTCTGACGGTCATCTTGTTCTTTAACCCAGTTGATTATTTTAGAGATCTGGTTCTGTGAAAAAGAGTTCGATATTTGTAAGCTTGCGAACTGGATATAAGGTAACCTTTTGTTCTTCGCTTTCTGGAACCAAATAATGATGCAAGAAATCCTTATATAATGCTCTTGGCAAAGTCTCAGCATACGGCATGACTTTGTTACAAAAATCAACCGAATTGATGTGGAAGAAACGAATCAATGGTAAACAATTTTCGAGATTCGCTATATGTCCAATTTTCTAATGGAATCATCAAATTATTTTCGCCTGCATCAGCAGCTTGAGAGATGCCCACCTTTTCATAAAGGTCAATTTCATTCAAATTTAGATCGTCACGCTTAAGTAAAGAAATTTAGAGCTGATTGGTAAAAATCGGTTGATTGAAAAATAGCGGCTGAATTTTGACATGCGATATCCGTGCAAAATTTGTGAAACCTGATAAAAGAATTATGCTCGAATACGATTTGATTAACGATGGTAAACTTTCTATGAATGGTGTTCGAGAAGATATATAGAATCATTTCATCGACTGCAATTAATAAATCTAAAAATGTCGAAACACCGTGGTATTGTAAATCGATTTTTCCACTATAAATATATCTATTAAATTTAAATCAGCCAGCCAGCCAAGCCAAATTTTCATTTTACATTTTATTTAGTCATTTTTTAGCATGAAATTACCTTAGCAATAATGCAAAAACTCGAGGTTCGATATTTGTCATTTTATTTGGTTCGAAGGCGTCAGCAAATGCTACCGCAAAATAATGCGACTGCGCCATCAAGATTGCCGAGTGGGCTGAAAAAGTACGAAGGGTACCTTGGTTTTACCAACAATAATCGAAGTATCACTATAGTTGGAATTTTTATAAGACTCATCAAGTCTGTTTGAGTGTGAACTCAATAGCAAGTCGGGGGTCATTTTTTATTCGGTTAATTTTAATGATAATTCTTTTCTCGGTGAAAGCAAGCTTGAATAGTATCGATCAAAGACAAGTTTTAAATGTACATGTACATTCACTGGACAAAAGTCTAGAATCGGATACAAAAACACGTGTGGCGTGAGCACATTAAATTTGAAATTAGGGTATTTTTTACTACACTTTATCGTTAACGTTAAGATCTAAATCTGGATTTTCTCCATTACCTGTGGTATACTAATATCGAAATCTGTTTTTTATCACCAAAGAAAAATAATGAAATTAATGAATTAAAGAAATGTAAATTTACCTTCATTTGTAACATACAAACTTAACACTTGTAAAACCAAATATTTAATCTGAAATGTCGTTTTAATTGAATATAAAAATAACCTGTATCAGTTGTGAGTGGATTTGTTTTTCAGAAATTCAATAATTTTGTGCGAATACTTTTTTTGTATGCTCCTCATCAAAGTTGATCTTTTCTAGTCTAACGCACTCTTTGGTTTCATCATCTGTTTTATGATATTCTAAAGAACTGTAGTACTGCATTCAGTATACCATATTTTTTGGAAATTTGATTGTATTAGAAACAAAAGCAACTTTCACTTTAGTAGAAAGTTTCATTTTTACCTTGTTTATAAACTCCGATTTGCTTGAATTGTGTAATGATTTTTAATGCAATTTTCAATTTACATCTCGTCTCCATTTATGATCCCATTTTGATTTGTACTTGTTTAATGGGTTGCTTTATAAATTGACCCAAAATCTCCTTTTGCAAGATATCCAACATTGTAAGTCTTTTCATTCGAATATATTTTTATATTCATATTTAATTTTGTTGCATTCTTTTATTAGATTGTCGATATCTTTATCTCCGCTCCGCTAGACAATCTATATAAATTCGTTTGTGATATTTGAAACAGTCACCGTTGAAACACTCGTCACAGTAGTAGTGAGCATTTGACTTCACTTTATAAAATGCGAATTGCTTGAAATGATAGAAACAAACGAGATAATCTGATGTTACATTAATATGACATGTACATGGCATGTTTACTAAATTTTTGAATGCTATATCTCTATTTTGTTTGTTTCAAAATGCTGAAAGCATCGGCGAGAATACATAATTCTATTATAATTGCCCAGAATGTAAAAATAATGGACTATATGACATCTTTCTATTTCGAAATCGCGTTACATTATTGATTTTATGGTATTATGAGTCATCCAGTCCAGAGCATCTATCCAAAGATTTTATTTATACTGCTGTTTGTTCAGAAAGACATTTGCTTGATTTTTAACAGATTAAATTGAACTGTAATTATTAATTTCACAACAAAATTTACTCATTATATGGATAAATGAAAAATATTATTTGGAATAATCAGTGGACTAAGAAAATATTTTATTTATTGCGACTTACACAGTAGAAATATTTTAATTGAAATGATGATCTCGCTTTGTAAAAATAATGATGAATTATAGCAAATTATAGTAATTGTAATTAATTATAACAACTGTGATTAATTATAATAATTATAGTATTACCATAGTGACATAAAATTCCTTAATTCCCTAATCTTTTCTTGGTTATGCAAAATCACATATTTCTATAATTTTTCTTTATTTTATAAATATCCCTATTTTCATATCATATATTACTATATTTATTATCATGTTTCTATTTTTAAACACTATACTTTATTATCATGTTTCTATTTTTAAACACTATACTTTATTTTATATTCAAGATCTATATTTTTGTAATATAATATTCATGTATATAGTATAATAGTATAATGAAAGATCATTTTTAATTTTGGTAAAACAGTTACACTTGACATCTTTCAATATCTTTTTATGTCTTTTAATATCTTTTCACATCTTTTAATATCTTTTCACATCTTTTAATATCTTTTCATATCTTTCAACATCTTTTCATATCTTTCAATATTCTTTCATATTTTTCAATATTTTTTAATTCCTTTAATATTTTTTGATATCCTTCAACATATATATTTCTAAATATTAATAATACTTTAATTATAATATGTATATTTAGATAGTATTAGCTAGTAATACTATAATAATTTATATATTTAAAAAATATATAAAAGAATCTGCTATTCTAGCTTGAAATAAATAGTTTTAAATTGAATTATTTAGAAAATATAATTAAAAAGCTTATTATTATAATAATAATAGTCTTTTATAAGATTTCTTTTCTAATTATACTAGTACCTTTCTTTCATTTAGTTTTATTTCTTTGATCATATAAAGTTGATTGTAATTTGGATTTTTGAATTATAATATTATATTGATTTTTGATTTTTGATATTGTTTTAAAAGTAAAAGATCTCTATTATAAATAAGTTATACTTTTTATTTTATTTGTTTTTGAAAGTAGAAGAACTCTATTATAAATAAGTCATATTCTATTTTTATTTAGTTATTTAGTTTTTACTTTTCTTTACTTATAGCCTTCTTGATTAATAATAGTTTTACTATTTAATCATTTTAAATCTTGAATTATATTAATTATTAGTGACTTTACTAAGTTGATTTTTATAATTTTCTTGATTTATTTATTTATTTCTTTATTTATTTTATTCTTTTAAAGATAATATCCATAAATATTAGTACAAATCTTAAAAATCTTTATTATTATTAAAAGTATAATTTAATTTTGCCTTTAATTATTTCAATCCCTTTCAACCTAATATTATTAAGATAAATTCAAGTGAAAATTCACTTACTAATTTGTTATTACATATTTTTGATATCCTCTTTATGAAAATAAATCTTTCAGAAACTTTGTATTATTTGAACTCTTTTTATATTTCTTTTATACTCTTTCTTTCTTTTATTATTTATAATTGATAAATATT